TGCAAGAACGAAGAGCTCAAGGCCTCTGTTATATTTGTGATGATAAGTCTGTGTCAGATCACAAATGCACCACCTCTTGTTTTCTATTATTGGTTGAGGACAACTTGGGCGAGACTATTGTTTCTTTAGCTAAACCTAATTTTCCCCCTTCACCAGACCTTAACACCTTTTTCATCTATTTGTTTAAGCCTTGACCGATCATCCTTCACCATAGACTCTACAATTTCAAGGCAAACTCCATAACATTGCTATTCATGTGCTCATAGATATCGATAGCTCTCATAACATACTCCAACCCTGTTTGGCAAATCACTTTCAACTACCCATAACCTCAACACCAAAGTTTTTATGTGATATTGAGTGTACAGGCCTTTGTGAGCAAGTCCTAATTTTCATTTAAGGTCATGTATTTTACATCACTTTTACCTAATGCCTATTGAAGGTGCTAGGCATGGATTGGTTGCATACATTGGGATACCTCATCGTTGATTTCTCCACCCTTCGTCTATCTTTTACTCATAATAAGTCCCCCATTAGTATTTAGGGTGATCCACATAACCCACTCGCATTATCCACATTCCATCAATTTAGCCACATGTTGCACTATAAGGCGATTGCCTTTTGCCACCTTTTAGTTTTCCAATCAGTTGAACCTAAACCACCCCAAACCTTATTGACCATTCCATCGTCGTTAAACCCCAAAATCCAAACTTTACTTTTCATATATTCATCAATTTTCCTTACACCCACAGGCCTTCCTCCACCTCAACCCCACGATCACCATATTACCCTCCTCCCTAATACCTCCCGTGTCAATGTTAAACCTTACTACTACCTCTATTCCTAGAAAGAAGCCATGACCAACCACATCCAATACCTCCGATCAATCAATGCCTGATCATTCCAAGTCATAGCCTTTTTTCATCTCTTGTATTATTGGTTAAAAAAAATATAGTTCTTGGAGCCTATGTGTGGATTATAGAGCTCTTAACTCCATGAAGATAAAGGATCATTTTTTGATTCCTACTGTAGAGGAACTATTAGATGAATTGGGCAATTCTACAATATTCTCTAAGTTAGATCTCTGCTTTGGGTGCCATCAAATTCAAGTTGTACTAGATGACACTCACAAAACAACATTTCGCACTTGTGATGGACACTATGAGTTCATTGTTACGCCTTTTAGGCTTACTAATGCCATGATCCACTTTTCAATTAGCCATGAATGATTTGCATAGGCCTTACCTTCTCAAATCTTTTTTGATTTTTTTATGACATACTCATCTTTAGTCCTACTTATGTCAATCATTTACAACATTTAACCTTGATTTTCAAATTACTGGTCACTAATCAATGTTTTACTAAATTCTCTAAGTGTGTATTTGTTGTTACTTCACTATCCTATTTAGGCCATGTTATCTTTGCCCATGGGGTCACTCCTGATTCAGATAAATTAAAGGAAATTCATGAATTATTGTAGCCACAATCACTCTCAGCACTCCATAGTTCTTAGGGCTTATTGAACTTTATCCCAGGTTCATTAAGCAATACACCACTCTCGCCTCTCCTCTCATCGATTTGCTTACATCATAGAAATTCCTTTAGACACACGAGGTTAATTTAGCCTTTACAAAATTGAAAACAAAAATTGCTACAACCTCTATTCTTTAACTTCCAAACTTTATTATTACTTTAGCAGTTGAAACCGATGCCTTTGTCGTTGCTATTGGAGTCGTCTTCACCTAAAAAAGGCACTCAATTGCCTTCTTTAGCAAAAAGATGAGCCCCCACTTTCAAGCTTCATTTGCCTACATCAGGGAACTTTAGGCTATTACAAAAGCCATAAAAAAATGGTGTCAATATCTCATTGGAAGGCATTTATACATTTACATTAATCAAAATAGTTTAAGTAACCTCATGTATCAAACTATTCAAACCCTAGAGCAACAGAAGTTGACTTGCAAATTACAAGGGTATAGTTATGATATCTTTTACAAACTTAACACTATGGCATATTCATTGTCCCACCAATTCTGTGCTATTTCACCATCCCTTCTAAGTGACTTCTTCACCTGTTCCTGCTATCCTCACTTGTTTACGCGACTACTTTGCTAAAGTTCCATATTGTATTACTTTTATATGACATATTGATGCAAATCCCTATATGTAGGGCTTTTTTCATATTACTTATGACCTTGTGTATTTTCAAAATTGTTTGTACATTTTGGCCATAGATGACATGCGTGCCTCTTTGATCCAAGAATTTCACTCCACCCCATCTATTGGTCACTCAAGAGTAAAACCTATGGTGGCTTTTTTGGTCGCTTCTTTTTATTGGTTGGGCCTACTCACAAAGATCAAATAACTTATCAGAAATTACATCATTTGCCAACAAAAAATGTTATTTAGAAGAAACAAGGGTTGTTACAACCCCTACTTGTCCCACATAAGGTCTGGGAGGAGATCATCATGCATTTCATCACCCACTTGTTGAGCTCTTTTGGCCATATTGTTATCTAAGTCCTCTATGATTGATTAACCAAGTATCTGTAGTTTCTAGGGTTACCTACTCACTTCTTGGCAAAAGATCTGGTGCAACATTTCTCCGTTGAGGTTTTCTGTATTCATAGAGTGTCTATATTTATCACTTTAGATCGTGACCTTTTCTTTATCAATACATTCTAAAAAGAATTTTTTTTTCTTGTAAGGCACCACCCTAAGTTACAATACAACATATCATCTCGAAACTAATGGTTCATCAAAAGTTGTGAATTGATTTTTAGAAGCTTACCTACATTGCTTTGTTTCTGATTACCCTCGACTCTAGTATAGTTTCCTTCACCTTGTTGAGTTTTGGCACAACACGTCACACCTCACCACCATAGGCATGGCACCTTTTTAGGTTTCTTTATTGACGTTTGCCTTCATGTATCTTGAATCTCGTTCCCAAATCTACCCCGGTGCTCAGCCTCCAAGATTCCCTCCAAGAACACCAAAATATGTTATAGAAGTTAAAAGAAAATCTTCAAAGATGTCGCCAAAGTATAGTCGCCTAGGCAAACAAGAAGATACGAGATCATACCTTTAAGGAAAGTGACTAGGTCTAGTTGTGCCTCTACCCTTACTAATAGTTGTCTATCGTGTGTCGGCTATCAGCCAAGTTATCCAAATGATACTTCATCTCCTTTGTAATCCTTCGTCGCATTAGAGTTATAGCTTATGAGTTGCAAACCCCCCTTTCGTCGCGTATTCACCCTATATTCATATCTTTCCTTTGTCCCTATCATGGTCCAACACCTCCATCCAAAATTTCCCCATCGCCCTGGTTTTCCAACAACAAACGCACCCTTTTACCTTCCTCACCGCTAGTGCGTGTTGTGGAGAAGCCCAAAACTCCTTCTCTTCGTATCCAACCCCCTTATACCAAATGCCTTATCATGCTCTCCACTTGTTACACATTAACCATTAAACTTCTCACCTAATTCCACACGTGGCCCCTTGCCACCCATTTCACCTCCTGACAACCATATCACTTCCCACCCACTTCATAATGGAAATGGATTCTCTGATTTTGTGGAGGGAAAGTTATGATAACTTAATATATTTAAACTGTTAGATTTGTAATAAAAGATCAGATTGTGACACGTGTACATTTAAGTTAAAATATATATTGTACACGTGTCACAATCTGATTTATTTTTATAAATTTAACTATTTAAATACATTAAGTTACCATCTTTCCCTCCACGTATCACCCCAACTTGCCACGCATCACCCCATTTACCCCATTTCAAAATCCCCTCATTTTACCCTTACCAATTTCATCTGCCATGGAGAGCCCAATTAACCTTGAGGAAAAGGTTAATCCTCATGGGCTAGGCATCGATAAGTCCAAGTGGTTGACATCAAGCCCATATTGGGTGAAAGATTATGTTAATGGTTAAATCAATTATCTTTTATTGCTTTATTTTTTTTCCCTAAATGGACTATTTGTCTGATTTGCCCAAAACTTAGTGGTAATTCTATTTTGAGTGTGCTCCAAAGAAGTTTGATGGTTATGAATGAAATATTTTTATTTTTTCAATTTTATAGTTTTCTATAATGTAATCCTAATTCCTAATAGTTACTTAACACTCTTCAAACAACCAACTCTTAATAATTATCAATGACAAGCTTCAATGCTTAAAACAATCATTCAATATGATCGATAATATCTTCTTTTATGTAAGAACTCACAAGAAAACTATGATACAAACACACAATATCTTAATATCCTAATATAAAAAATATTATTTAATTAAAAAATATTAATACAACACTTCATTTTCTTTTCTACACTCAATTAATCATTTTTTCCTTAAAAAAACAATTTTAATATGCTCTTTTTTTTTTTAATTCCTATTGGAGCTAACTCATTGATTCCCATGTAATCACATATCTCAAAACCTATTAACATTGACCTTTGGCTAATGTAATAGTACTCCTTTTCTTTTCGTTTTTAATCTTTAACTAGTTCTCTAACAACACCTATTAACATTGGACCCAATTCCAAACCGCAGCCCATTCCAAACGATCCTGATCGGTCGTACAGTACGTACTCTATGGCATCTAATATTATAATGTACAAAATGATTTTAAATAAATTAATAACAGTGGTTTTATATTTTAGAGACAGTTTAAAAGAATTAAATTTTATTTTTGTTAAAATATGCAAAGAAAACACGTTAAGAAAATGAAGTGTAAACCAAAATTGGTCGGATGAATAGACTTAAAAATTTCACAGTTTGTAAACTATATTTATTATAAAAGAAATATCTTATTTTAAACATAATATCAATTTATTTAATGAATATTAATAACTTTTAAATATCTTTAAATAAATATATTTATATATTTATTTAAAGTCTACTGCTATTAATTAATTATATGGATGTATGTATATTCCGTACTAATGTAAACCCTTAAAAATAAAAATGAGTTAACTGTGGGAGAAAGTGTAGAATCGTGTGCGCACCTCCTCACTTATCCTGTACCTGCAACTCTCTTCTCATTGGTTCTCTGTATTCTCCCCATCTTATTATTCCTATTCTCCTTTCATTTCCAACACTTTTCTGCATCTCTACTCATTATTCAACATCAATCAATCTCAAATTCAAGGGCTCAAAAACCGTTAATCGATTATTTTAGGGATTCTACAGTGCAATCAATGGCTTCTTCAATCCCTAGCGCTCCCTCCGCGTTGAATTGCCAGCGCTACGTCGGTCTCAGAGCGCCGCCGAGGAGTTTCAAGTTCACTCTCCCTCAAGCCGCAACCAATTCTCGATCTCCGCGCCTTTTCGTCGTCAGAGCGAGCGATTCGGAGTTCGAAGCCGCCGTTGTCGCCGGGAATGTTCCGCCGGCGCCTCCCGTGCCGCCCAAACCGGCGGCTCCGGTTGGAACACCGGTGGTCCCTTCTCTTGTGAGTTTTTCATGCTTCATCATGCATTGCTGCTAACTAAACTACCCCTGCCGTGGCAATGGTTTGATTGGTATGGTTTGTTGGATTTGTTTCAGCCACTTCACCGGCGTCCACGTCGGAACCGGAAGTCGCCTGCGCTTCGATCGGCTTTTCAGGAAACGAGTATTTCGCCGGCGAATTTTGTGTATCCGCTTTTCATTCACGAAGGTTGGTCTTTTTTTCACGTGGTGCCTTCTTACAAGCTTAGCTTTCACATGCATTTTGAGTATACTAATTTTTCATTTGTAGCTACTAGGTTGTACAGTATGCTCTTGAATTTGGGTTATGAGAACATTTGAGTTTGAACATGCAGGTGAAGAGGATACTCCAATCGGGGCTATGCCTGGATGCTACAGGCTTGGGTGGAGGCATGGACTTGTAGAAGAGGTTTTTATCTGCTACTGTTTGCTTGTCTTGTACTCATGCATGCTTAAATGAGTCCCACTTTGCCTCAGCCTTCGATTTCATATTTCTTCATTTTTAGCATGGAAAGTTATAAAGTGGATAGAATTTTGAAAATGATATAGAGTGAACCAAAGTTAACAAAATCAAACCATTGAAAAGTAATACTGAATCTGGGGTTTGGGATGTCTGTTTTGGTGCACAAACATGATACATGTATCAAATACGACACACAGATACGCTGGTGATACCATCATTCTAAAAATATATAGGATGATGTGTAAGATACATAATTTAATATGTATGAAACTGCTTAAAACTTAATAAATATATATTTGTAATTGTGCAAATCCATATTAAAAACATAATTGAACATGACTAAAAACAGAAATAAAATAAAAAATTATAAATCATTGTCATAATAAATATGATAGTGCAGCCAATTTCTATTCCTTTCTTGAAATCATCAATAAATAGGACAATTTCCAATTTCGGTTCATCAAGGGACAGTGCTTCTGTGTTTTTATATTACATTTTTATATGATGTAGCTGTATTATATTTTCATAATTTTTTAAAGGTTTGTAGTCGTATTCCTCATTGGTGTGTATCAATGAAGTATCCAAAAGTATCAATGTCAAACACACATCAAATATGGATAAGTGAAGCAAAAGAAAGTATCGGTGCTTCATAGGACGTTTGTCTTTTTTTTATAGTATTGATTAGTTTAGGTGAGCTGGGTCTTGGGGGCTCATCAAAGTCGGAGCAGGCCTCAAGGTTCTATGAACGTTTAAAGAGGTATTTACAAATTACCCATTATTAAGGTCCTCACATTGGCAAGACGAACCCACATCCTTTTGGAATATAAGCTTGTTTCTTATCAACTAGACCAACCTTTGTTGGCTCATAGGATGTTTGTCTACTACTATAAGATGGACATGTCAAATTGAAGGTTTTTTTAGACTTCCTTCTGCATAATTTTGTTCTTATATGTCTCGGAACTATTTTTTTCTGCCTTCATGTCAATTCTATGACAATGAAGATAAAAATATTCATATGTACTTTACTACTTTTATGATTATGAACTTTTAGTCACCCATTAAGAGTTATCTAGGGGTAAAATGCCCTGTCTTTGTACTACAAGACAAATTTACATCATCATATGATCTATGCAGCTGACCCACCTAGTGGGAAAAGATTTAGTTGTTGTTATGTGTACTTTTTTGGATCAGCTTCTCTGTTTTGAGTATTAGGTTAGCTACTTTTTAGAAGTTTGATGCTCTTTCAATTTGATCAAGGGGTTTTGCCAGATTTTATTGTTCCTTTAACTATCTGACCTGTTTGAATCATGCCCTGCTGTGGGAAGCTGATAGTATTTTTCTTATATAGTATTGTAATTAATGAGTACACACACATAAATCCCTTTTCTTTTTTATATTCCTAAATTGTGTGGGTGATGGTGACATTATTCTGACTATATCTTGTATAACTCATTAATGTTTAGTAATTTTCAGTGGGTATTTTGTGCTTCAGGTCACAAAAGCACGAGATGTTGGTGTTAATAGTGTCGTGCTCTTCCCCAAAATTCCAGATGCTTTGAAGGTTCTATTCTTTCTCCTACATACTATAGGCTTTTGGAAGGATAACTGCGGTGTAATCTAGTATAACAGATTTTCCCCTTTAGTCTCCCACAGGAGATGAAGCATACAATGAAAATGGTTTAGTACCTCGGACAATACGTTTGCTCAAGGATAAGTACCCAGATCTTGTAAGTGAACATAATTTTTATAGTTTGAGGATACTTTATTTTCTGGTGAAATAAAAAGTTAAAGCCAATAACCTTTCTTATTCAATCTTTCTTCAGGTTATCTATACAGATGTTGCATTAGATCCTTATTCATCAGATGGGCATGATGGCATAGTTAGAGAAGATGGTATGCTATCTGATTTGTCTTTTATACTCAGCTGGAAATATTTTGAGAAAAATGCTGTACTACAGGAATTTGTAGTTGGTCCCTATATTCTTGCACTGATTCCTCTTGCTTAAGACCTAGTAAGATTTTATAAGGATATTAGATCATAGATAGCTCAAAATGCCTAACAACAGCATGCCCAAACATCAACCAAGCTGCGTTTTGAGTGCAAGATTCAACACATTCAAATAACGTTGTTACAATAATTATTTACTGTTACAGCTTGTCATGTGTTTTTTTATGCTATATTTCATTTCTGTTTTTACTCTAGAACTACAGACTTTGGTTAATGGTTAATTTTCCTTGTAATTCTGTTTCTTAAAAGCTGAGGTGGCATAGGTAGTGCTAGTTTGTTAGAATATTCTCTTGGAACTACCTTGCATACTTATGGGCCAAGTGGCAAAGAACAAGGGACATGATTATTTTGAAAAAATATTTCTCTCTCATCTAACAATTCTCTGCACCGAGCTCTATTCCTCCATTGGAGCTCCTGCTTTGAGTTTAGGATTTTTAATGGTTTCCTCTCTAAAAATCCAAACTATCACACGCAACAAAGCACATCCCATCATTGCCATTATAACTGCTTGTATCCTTTCTCCAACTGAATCCCCTTCAGCTGAAAATACTTCTCAACCTGGTTAACCTAGTTGTAGGCATCCACCCCAGCAAACAAGGGAATCTCTAATTTCCTCCAACAGTTGTCTCTCAAGTTGACTTGCTTATCCGCCTTAGCCCCCCCCCCATCTTTTAGTTCTCCATTTTGCATCTCCTGGTGATGCATTTCTAATAAGTCCCAACTGTACTTTTATTGGAGAACTAAGTTAGATTTTCGAGGTCGTCAATCTTTTTTATTCTCGCTTCTTGTAGCTCACGACAAGATTCTTGGAACTGTTGCTCCCATTCTTCTAGTATCCTCACTTATTCAAGGTTTCTAAACTACTCCAAGTGATCTTGCCTCCATTCTTGGCCAAAACATGTACTGCTCCCAGGATCTTTGGGGGCTTTGATACCCGTTGATAGAGACCTAGTATCTTATTTGAAAGAGTAAGGGAAGTCTCCCCTAATATAGAACACAAGAACTTTGAGTGGCTGCACCTCCTAATGCCCAAAGGTCCCAATTCTTTGATAAATATCAAGATGATCTATTTTCCTCTATTTTATTCTATTTATACATGACTACGTGTGATACCCTTAACTGACTGACTGCAAGTCTGTAACTAAAAAATTTATGATTATAACTAAAATAGCTAATAGGTTATCTGATTGTGTTAGGTTTTGTTTCCTTTCCATCTGGATTAGCAGATAGTAAGGAACACAAGAAGAAACTAGATTTCTGTTTTGGTATTTGAATCACCATCTTATGGGTACCTTAAGTTTTATGGTAGGATATATAATCCTACTTTTAAGCTAACCTTTTGGGTACTTTTGTATCATAAAATGAAATCTTTTGGAATTTAAATGTGAATAGGATTGGCAATGGTGTTGCTTGGAATTTAATGGTCATTCTTTTCTTATGCAATGTTTGGTTGGTTCTCGAATGGAATCTATTTTATTTCGTTCACAGAATGAAATTAATACGGAATGGAATCGGCATTCTTCCCTTTTCCATTTACTATTTGTTGAATATGTTTGAGACTTTGAGTCTGTTTATCATTATTCTAATAGTATTATTCAAAAAGAAAATCATTTTTTTCTTAAAATAATTGCCATCAATTCACTATGTAGTCTGTGGCTCTATTTGCTTCCTGAATCAACTTTGGTTGGGAAAAGAGTAGGAGACATTCTGCATAACTTTGAAAGAAATAGTCTTTCTTGATTAAGGTCAATAGAGTGCTAATTACATTATATATCCTTGATATCTTGTAGGAGTTATTATGAATGACGAGACTGTTCATCAGCTATGTAAACAAGCTGTAGCCCAGGTAATATGAGTGTGTGCCTTCCATACACATTTTCAACTGTAGGCAGTTACCAATCATTTTCTTCAGTTTTCCTGAGTACATTGATTGTCTCCAGTAAGGACTTGAAAGTTGAAACATTCATTTACTTTCAAACAAGTTTCACTTGTTTATGGATGTGAATGTGATTTTTATTCATGTTATGGGTTCAATGTGGTGTCTCAACTCCCTGATGAAAAAAAAAAAGATAGGAAAGAACCGATGCTTTATGGTAGTTAGGGAGGTTAATGGTTGAGAATTGTTAAATAACTAAGGAAATCGTCCTATGCTTTTATGTCCCCTATCTCTAAGATTTCCTTGCTACACTTCTCTATCACCACTTACATTTTTTTGTCTATTTTATTTTTAATTAACAAAAAGGCCCAAGCTGGAGCAGATGTTGTCAGTCCTAGTGATATGATGGATGGTCGGGTAGGAGCATTGCGGGCAGCTCTTGATGCTGAAGGCTTTCAGCATGTTTCTATAATGTCGTATACAGCAAAGTAATTTTTTTACTTGCCATTTCTTTATCTTATCTCATTTTCTGTTTATGCCAACAAAGAATTGGAGATTACCGAAGGTTTAGTCAGTTATGAAGATGTGTAGATGCATCCAAAATTTAGAATAACTCGAAGGTTTAGTCAGCTTGAATTGATAATTGAAACTTAAAATAACTAAGGATGCAGAATAATTTTCCATAGATCTGTTATACCTAAAAAGAATGTGTTTATGAGGGATCTAGAGTTCGTATCAATTGATATCTATGTTCTTGCATGGGATATTAAAAAGATGCAAAATGTGTGATATATTGATTCATTTTTATGTGGAACAGTTCCATTGTGAACAAGTTGGTTTCTTTCTCGTCCAACTTAGAAAGAAATCTTATCATCCATATCGCCATATTTACGAGAATCTTTAGATATGCAACTTCTTGCTGCCCTGAGCCATCTCACTATAATTGCTGATTGTTACTCTTTACTAAGTTTATCTGTTGGTGAAAAATTCTATAAGAATATTAATTACAATTAACAAGATGGATTGGTGGATGTTGTTTCGCTTTATCCACCTCCTTTTCCTATCTAGCATATAATTTGGTCCTAAACTATGTCATTTACCTGTTGCCAACAGGTATGCAAGTTCTTTTTATGGTCCATTTAGGGAGGCACTAGACTCAAACCCCCGGTTTGGAGACAAGAAAACGTATGTGTCATCAAATTTAACTTACTATCATATTTGTAATAAATTTTACATTATTGATTCTTGCTTTGCTCATAAAATCTGGATGTGCTGAACAAAAGTTATCAGATGAACCCAGCTAATTACAGAGAGGCTCTGACTGAGATGCGGGAAGATGAATCTGAGGGAGCTGACATTCTCCTGGTTGGTTCAGTTTTTATGTGTGTGTGTGTGAATGTTATTGATTATAATCTTACGCTTATTTTTTTATCTATACTATTTTCTTTCCCAAGCTTATAAAAAATGGATTTGCAGGTGAAGCCTGGTCTTCCTTATTTGGATATCATAAGGCTGCTCAGGGATAATTCTCCTTTGCCAATTGCAGCTTACCAGGTTCTTTTCTTTGCCCATTGTAGCACTAGGCAAAATATTTCTGATAAAAAGTTGGATCAAATATTCAATAAATTTTAATCAGTGAATTATGAATTTAAGCTTGCTTCAAGCGACAGAAGTATATCTATAGCAGACAAATATCACACTTATAATTTAATATCAGGCTGAGGCAAAATTTATGGTTTGCTTAATAATTATTGTTCTTAGGCTGGTATGTTATTACATGGCATCAAATTCTAATTCGATTCTTTTAAAAAATGATTAAACAGAAATTTGTTTCTGTAACAATCATTATATCCGAGACCTTTAATTTTTTCAATTTGGGAATATGAACTCCCTGTTCTGTTAATTAAATTTTTTAACTGTTAACAAATAAGGATATGAAGTCTAGAGGTTATGAGGATATGAAGTTGAAGAAGTTTGTTCGGTATGCTAATTTAGTAGTTTATTTAAACGCACTTTCATTGATTGTAAATTTCTTCATTCTACCTGTTCTGAAAAGGTTGTCCAACTTTTACTTCCTGTTCCCTGACCCTTCTGGAAGATGTGTGAAAAGTTGATTAGGTACAAAAGCAGTTAGTGAAGAATGAAAGCTAGTGTACAATATGAATATTGTTCATCAAGTATTTTATGGATGCAGTGATGCTTGATTAACTTGTTATGCCTTTAAAGCTGGGAATAAAAGGAAACTGCATATTTCAATGTGAATGAAAAGATGTAGTTCTGAATAGCTTGAAAACAAGATTTTTTGGCATAATCATATTCCCCATCCTTTTTCATAATAATTCTTAATTCATGGAACAGGTTTCTGGTGAGTATGCAATGATAAAAGCTGCTGGTGCCCTTAAAATGATAGATGAAGAAAAAGTTATGATGGAGTCACTGATGTGCCTCCGAAGGGCTGGTGCTGATATCATCCTCACGTATTCTGCTCTGCAAGCTGCCAGATGTTTGTGTGGAGAGAAGAGATGAGATTTTCTAATTAGAAATGCAAGGCATTGTGTAGAAGGTTGAAGAGCTTATAATATACTAGTATGTTAGGCTGGATTTTTGTCGATTGTAAATTGTTTAAGGATTTGGAGGTCTGTGTATTAGACAGCAGGCATATTCAATAAAATATTATGGCGTCGCTTGATTTATATGTTTAAGGACCTAATAGAAAAAGACTTGGGCAGTTGTTTTTGTTGTTATGGAAACTTTATTTGTAGAATGTAAACCCATTGTATGAATCAAACTATCAAAGTGTCCACTCACCTGCAAAATACTTCGCACTGTAATTCTGTTGGTGCGGAAATCAAATGTATCCTGGGAAGTAAATGTATCCTTTTGCCTTCTACTCTTTACGATAAATAAATTAAGAAAGTAATTTATGAGTAACATGGCGTGGAGGATATGGTTGGTGCATTGTTTTCACTTGTTTGAAGCATCGCGGTGTTTTTGACACTGTAGGACAGGGGAGCCTTCTCTTATCACTAGGACGTGCTTATACGATTGATTTCTTTAAAAAAATGTCAATAATACAAAGATTTACTCAGATTAAGTTATTGTTTGAAGTACTTTATACCCCTGGACATTTGCCTCCAGAAAGATAAACAGATTTTAAGCCACTTTCGGTCAAATTTTAGTGCTTACCAGTTTTCTTCAATGAGCGCACTCTCAACAAAAACAAGAGAAAAAGAGAGTCTGATCTCTACTATTCCTTAACATCAAGCAACAAATGAATCTAGTAAAATTCCATTTTAGTATCTTAATTGCAAGTATTTGATACTTTAATCGTTGACTTATCAAAATCTTCAATTTTGTCTTTCAACTTTGTAAAATGTTATCAACTTTAGGTTTTGTATTGACATTAAAGAATAAAGTAAATGGTGTTTAATTGTAAAGACGGCAGTAAAAGACATTTATATAAAGGTAAAATACTAGAGTAAAGATTTTGTAAACTTATCAACTAAAGTGACAAACATGTGCATTATCACGAATTAAAGTGAGAATTTACTCGTGTAATAGCGTGTTTGATTCCGCGTTCTCAACACGAATTTTCACGTTGAGATAGAAGGAAATAGTTCTAGCTTCTACGTTTTCAATGATAAATGACGTGATTTTTATCATTCGGACGCGTTTCCAAACACCCACTAAGAAACACAAGGAGGACGGATGGTGTACTGATTTTGAACGAAATTGAGAGGACGTGGGACGTGAAAACAAGAGCAGAACTTTTTCTATTGGAAAATGATACACGGACACCTATGAGCTAGCTATTACTATTAGACATCTAAAGAAACAGAAATATGATAGGTAATTTTATGTGATAAGAAAAGAGAAAAAGAGAAATGAAGAGAGTAAGTTAGGTGTATACACTGTGCAGATATCCAAATATCATTACTATTTTCCAATATCAGCCATGTTCAATGAGGTACCTCTCTGCAATACTAGCATGAACAGCAGCACCTACTGGTAGAACATCTTCATCAATCATGAAATGTGGAGAATGACCCGTATGAGTAGACCCCAGCGTTTCATTCCTTATCCCTATGTAGAAGAATGCTGAGGGAACCACCTCAGAGTAGAAAGAGAAATCTTCAGCACCCATCATAGGTGGAACTACCCTGAAATTCTTCTGGCCCAGCAAATCAATCGACACCTTCTTCACATGCTCATACATTCGGTCATCATTCACTGTGGGGGGGTAAATAGTGTACTCCTTTTCAAAGAAGTCAACTTCCGCAACGCATCTGTAGACACTGGCCTGTTCCACAATCACCTATTTCGGAAAACAATAGGATCCAAGGTAAAGTCATTCAATCATTTGCGTTCTTTCATTCACTTTAGTTTTCTACAACCATTATTTCTGCGATTTTGTTTATCTATTTTTCTTTGGCAAATTTGATCCTCGCCATTTTAATTATGAATTTTAGTTCTTTCGAAAACTTGACATATAATGGTTGTATTGTTTAAAAATAAGTGTTTTTAAAAAAATAATTCTTTATAAAATAGATAGTAATTGCTTCTAAAAAAAAAAACTAAACTCATAAAAAAATTAAAAAAAATGTTTATTTTATTTTTTAAAAAATGCTTTTATAAAAAATTAAAAGTTTTAACAAACAGAACCAATATTTTACCAAAATACTACATGCACTTCACTGTACATATTATGTACACTTTTATTAAATGTTAAGCGTCAAAATAATAGATAAACTAAAATTGCACAGATTGAATAAAGAGAGTCAAATTCTCGAAAATAAATTGTGAAATTAATTCGAAAAATGAAAATAACAAAAGATCAAAAGTGCAATTAAGCACGATAGAAGTGAGGTAATTGCTAACCTGCTCTATCCTTTCAAGTAGCTGATAAAAGCTGGCGTTTGAGAAAGCTCTGAAAGTCCCACCGAGGACCACTGTGTCGGGTATCATGTCAAGATTGTTGCCTCCATTAAACGAAGTTACAGAGACAACCTGCAGTAGTAAAGGGGGAAGAGTACATGGTTAGAAAAAATGAAAAGTATGCAGATTTGATTAAGATTAGTAGAGGGGGCAAAGTATGCAAAATGTCACACACAAAGGGATTGAAAATTGAAAAGAGGTAGTATATTGCTGAGACAAAACCTGTGAATCCAGTGGATTTGATTCGCGGGAGACAATGCCCTGTAAGCTGATAACTGCAGCTGAAGCGGCTAAAACAGGATCAACAGAATGGTGAGGATTGGCAGCAAGACCCTTCTTGCCACTAATGACAGCTCTGAAGAACCCACAGCCAGCAAGGAGGGGTCCAGGCCTTGACCCAATTATACCAGTTGGATGTTCATGGGACACATGAGCTGCAAATATAGCCTCCACCTTCTCCAAAGCACCGTCTTGCATCATTCGTTTTGCTCCATTACCTGCTTCCTCTGCTGGCTGGAATAACAGAATCACAGTTCCCTGTCATGAACACAACAAGGTTATCACTTTAGTACTTGTTCTCATTAAGATTACATCTAACCAGGTTTGGTTATTGGGTGTAAGTACAGTCCAATTTTTGACATGAGTAAACTCATCATTCCAAGATTTGCTAACATTGAAATCACAATATAGAGCCTTAACATGGATAGGGATTCAAGACAAACAATGACACTATTACTAAGGGAAATGAAAATGTCACTTTATCTATTGACACAAAATGTATCATTTATTTTTAGTATTAAGCGACGAACTTCCCTAAATCGTAGTATGATTATTCAAAATTATGCAGTAAAGTATATAAAAGTCAGGTCAGGATGGTTGCGGGTTTTGTTTAAAAACTCATTATCTACCTATATATTTGTCTGAATTTAGGGTTTAGGGGTGCACATCAATGAGACAGAGGCTCAAGATTGTATTTCTTAGAAATTTGTACAAGAACAAGACTGTGGAGTTCCTTGCTTGTGTTGTTTTCTCTTAAGCAAGTGGTTATGGGAAGTTTGAATCACTGCCCATTCCAACTCTATCAAGAATAAACTCTATTGTCAATAGGAGGGTAGTAAAAAAATGTGAATTTTTCTTTTCAATAAATTCTTTTCTTTTCATCAAAAAAGAAAGGGAAAAAAACTTTTACATACTTTTTCCACTTTTTTTTCCCCTCTGTTTTCTTCCCACATCTAAATGAATGGGAGTTTCACTAAAGATAAATTCATGCAAGCCAGTTTTGGAGAGTAAGTATAAGGAAAAAGAAGACAAAATGATAAACGATGTTATGTAATAAAATGGAAAGAAAAAAAATGTTATTCAAATATATAAATATATGATTACTGTTTTTCTTCTTCTTATAATGTGCTTAGAAACCTATTGATAAATAAGAATCATATTTGGAACGTAGAGCTATAACTTCTTAAAATCACATATTCCTTCTGAAATCAAATATAAGAAGAAAAAAGTTCATAAATGGTAATAAACTAAAATATAAATATATTTTAATCAATTTCATCTTATGTAATCATTTGTTTTTAAAATACATTTATTTAATTAAATTTTATTTTCAGTTATTTTTAAATTGTTAATGCAAGATGATTTTAAAAAAAAAAAATAAAATAAAAAAATTAATTAATATTCTTAATCAGAATAGAAATTAATATATTTAAATCAGGAAATATGAAAGAAAACACGCAGGCAACTAGATTTTGTTTGGTACCAAATTGTCAATGATTGTGAAGGAGTTAATCCATACTCAAGGTACTATTTGAGTACGGTATTGATTTCAGGTTACACGAAAACACAGATTAACTTGACTTCCAAATTCGAATCACAATCTACACTCGCTTTCTATACTTAGTAACTTCCCCAGTGGAAGTGGTAGACAAGATTCCTCTTATCTGTCAATCAAAGTTGACAATTTGTGTAACTTCTAAACCCAGTGGTCACTAACAATTGCATGTTCATGTGCATGTGCACATGGTACACAAGATTCCCACACGTTGGTTGGCTACCCCGTACCCATGCCCCACTCTTCCACTTTCTCTTTTATTGATGGGAGCCCCACTCTTCCTCTTTCTACGTGAGGCAATGGCATGCCACAAATTTTAATGTATTTTGGGTGATTCGATGAATTTTTAGGTAAGGGTTAAAAATGCCTTTCACTGATGTGAGGTTAGATACACTTTTAAAATAAATAAGCTTCTTATATTAATATATTTGAGTATTAAAAATAATTTAATGTAGTCATGAAGAAAAGGCATCTGAACTTATAGTCCAGTCCTAGCCCTAGGGTCTGAATGAATAGCATAGCCTAGTCCTAGGCTCCTAGCGGCTAGGTCTATCTTAAAGTTTATGCTGATTATCATAAATTTAGATGTCCCATCCCATCAAAGCTCTAACCGCTAAACGACAGAGCCAACTTCATTCATATTCACAAGTAGCAGACAGCAGTACTGCTTATATTAATGAGCTACACAATGACCACTCAACATTGATTCTTTCATAGCAATGCAGCAGTCATGACATCCTATTTAACGGAAATATCCTGACTATTTGGAGGAGAAAAGTTAGGGTAACTTTACACATTTAAATTATTGGATTTGTAATAGTAGATCAGATTGTGACACGTATATATTTAAGTTAAAATATATTTTGTACACGTGTCACAATCTGATATATTATTACAAATTCAACGATTGAGATGTGTTAAGTTACCATAACTTTCATATCTAAAAATCAGAGGATCCGGATCCCTATTTAACAATGGATAAAAGCTGGGGTAAATTTGTTAGGTGTATGTAGTGTTATTCTTATATTAGAGTTTTACTTTTTCTTGTATGCGTAAATATATATTAATAAAATTGGTATTAAATATAAATGTATAATATTAAAAAAATTATTGAAAAATAATATTAATTATACTTTAAAAAATTCTATTTAAATTTTCTCATATAACAAAAGCTTCTAATCTTTTCATTCATGGGGGAATAATTGAATAATGATAATAAAAAAAATCATCATTTCTTTTACAAACTTTTAAAAATAACAAACAATGAAAATCATGTCATTTTTGTAGTTAAAAATGTAAATAAAAATAAATATTTTGTCAAATCAAGTGACTATTTTTTTATATTCTGAGTATATATTTTGTTAGCTTAAGAGTTTTTAAAATAAAAAAATAATTATTTTAGTACAAACCACAAATATTCTTAAGAAAAAAAATACTGTTCAAATCGAAATTTTAATTAGTGTGAAACATTTCAATTATGCATTTTTTTTATTGTAATGGGAAAAATAAGTGAAAAATAGGATGGAGAGAAAGAGAAATAAATGAATAAAAATAGATAAGAAATAAAGTGAAAAAGAATTTATTTAATTTAAAAAAGATAAAAAATAATAATAATAATATAAAATTATTTGACTTAAATAGATAAAAAGAAAAGAAATTATAATTTTACCCTTTCATTTATTTTTTTGTATTTGAATAACATGCATGATATTTAAATACAACTAAATAAATATTTCACTAAAATGTTGTTTATTCGAATAAATAATATAGAAATTTGGATAAGACATTAAAGTCCCTCCTTATTCGAATAACAGTCCGAACAAAAAAATGCAAGCTCCTCCATATTTAAATAAAACATTAATAGCTTTTCCATATTCGAATAACTCGTCCAACAAAAAATGTAAGCTCCTCCTTATTCGAATAACTAGTCCAGCCAAAAATGCAAGCACATTCTAATTGCTATGAATACCTATTCGAATAAAACAAAAATTCAAATACACATGACAATTTCGCGTTTATTTCCATGTATATATGCAAGGAAATAAAAAACGCACGGGATTCACTCATTTTAATTTCTCAGCTGACAATCTCACTGCAATCAAATCGCACATCTTATTTCTCATGTCTTCTTTCCACACCTTCCACACTATTTCTTCGCAGTTTCATCTCTAATATAGTATTAGAGATGACACCCAATTCTTTCCTTAAACAACCCACCCCTTTTTCTTTATCAAAAATAAAAAATGTGATACCCACAATCTTATTATGTTTGGAACTGGGGGAAACTAGCCCCCATAGAGGATTATGAAACTCATCCTTATGTTTTTCTCTCTGAAATCCTCCGACAAAATGTTTCACGCGAAGAAATTTTCTTAAGTGAAAAATAAATAACTTAAGAGTGTGTTTAGATAGTGAATTTAAATGGAGTAATTCATTTATTTGAAGAATTTCAAATTCTTTGAGGTGAAATACCTTGTTTGGATAGAGAATTTATAAGGAATTTGAAATTCAAACATTTTTGAAATTTCTTGAAATAATAGAATTTCAAATTCTCCCAAAAAAGTAAGAATTTAAATTTTTCATATTTTTTTTTATTATTTTACTTATATATTTTATCTTATTTCTTATCTCTTCATATTTTTAATTATTGAATATTCAAAAATATTTTTAAAATTATTAAATATTATCTAATATTAATTTTGAAAATTATTAAATATTTAAAAAGTAGCTAATATATATTTTTATAAAATTTAATTTAAAAATCTCAACATATAAATATATTTTTAAAATCAATTTTACCATGGTGGAATCAAATTATCATATCCAAACCAACAAGTTAAAATTTGAGAAATTTAAATTGACTTATCCAAATGATAGAAATTAAAATCAAAGTAATTTAAATACCAAGAATTTAAAATTCCTTGAATTTGTAAATTTCCTCATCCAAACACACTATAAAATTCTTGAATGTTAAAATTGTTGAAATTCAAGTATGAAGTGAGTGTTACATCAGTTAAAGTTAGACATATTAAATAGTATATAGGTAAAAAAAACTCACTAACTTAATACCTTAAGATTTTGAGTTATAATATTGTACCAAATTTACTTGTGTAAACTACTCACTAATTATTGGAGTGCTCCCCGTTATTGAACTTTCCCACCTAACGGTGGTATTGGAGCCCCAATGATTTGAGTGATGGATTTAGAAAGAATTTTTTTTTAGTGAGATAAAAGAATTGTAATATTTTAATAAATAAATATATGAAATTCTTTTATAAAATAAATATTCATGAAAAAAGAAATTAAATGCCTTGTTTCCTATAAATTAAATCTGTTTAATAATTTAATCGACAATTTCCTTTTTTTTATTTGATATGTTGTATTAAAATATGTATTTGTAATTTTGTGTGGCTTGATAAGTATTACATTAAGAATGAAATGGTAAAAATTATGATAAAAATAATAAAATTAGTACTAATTTATTTTTATTTTTATTTATTACAATTTTGCAGCACTCATTTCAAAAAATCATTAATTTATAAAGATAATATTTGTGGGGGCAAATTTTATTATTAAATGCATTTAAGTGAAAAATAGAAAACTTAGTGGGGACAATTGTCTCCATAGTTTACTACATTGTCTCCATAGTTTACTACATGGATCCGTTCCTACTCATACTTGAGGTAAAGTAGTAAAGTTTAAGTATGAAGTGAGTCTTATATGAGATAAAGTTGGAACATATTAAGTAGTATATAAGTAAAAAAAAAATCACCTACATAATACCTTAAAGTTTTGGATTATGATGTGATGTCAAGCTCATTTGTATGATTTACTTACTATCGATTGAAGTGTTCCCCAATGTTGAACTCTCCAACCAAACAAAAATTTCATCTTTAATTTTTTAAGCCTTCACTTTATAATAAAAATAAATCGTATTTAATATTTTTTAATGGCTAGGATCTGATCAAGTCAAAAACTAAAAATAGATAGATGGAATCACTATGAAAAAAGAACTAGGTTCATCGGTAAAACTTGTCGTTGATAATTTTCTACGTACAAGAATACATACAGTAAAAAATTTATGGCAAGCGACGTCAAACACATGTTAGAACTTTCTAATTATAGTCTAAACGTAAATTATAGTCTAACCCATTTAACACGCTAAATAAAATTATATAGAAATGCGTATCAATCAGAATGACAATACAAAAACTAATAACAGTAAGAAAATGATGGGATGGCTCAAATTAAGTTAGACAATGAGCTGGTTTTCTTAGCTCGTAACTTGGTCAACTTTTAAAACAAATCAAACATGTTTTTAATGTACAATTAATTAATTTCATCAAATTAAGTTAGACAGTGAGCTAGTTTTCTTAGCCCGTACTGGGTAAACTTTTAAAACAAATTAAACATGTTTTTAATGTACAATTAATTAATTGGATAAATATATCTTTTATCTCTCTAAAATTTCTCAAATTTAATTGTAGTCTTTTAATTACATATTTTCTTATAAGTTCTTCAACCTTCTAGATGCACATTCTCTCTACCATTTTACTAATAAAAAAGTTAAACACTGTCTTATTTAAAAAGTTAAAATAGTAAAATAAATAAATAAAAGACTAAAACTGAATTTTAAATTTTTTAAAGAAATTAAAAACAAATTAAACTTGCATCCTCAATTTACAACATGTTATCTGTATTTTTTTTCCTTACATGTAGCCTCCTTTAGTTACAATCATGCTCAAAACACTATTGGATACTAAATCTATGCATCTTTTCTAGTAAAAATTTGAACTTTAATTTGCCACATGTCAAGAGATTAGCTCTTTTACCAAACTCAATGCGTTGTATGTTGGAAATCCAAGTGAAAAAAAGAATTTGGATAATTGAGTTACTCTAAAAAAAACTCAATATGATAAATTCGTGTGGTAAAAATATGTAAATGTTTATAATATATTTTTATTTATATAAAATTTTAAAAAAAAATTCTCTCGTAAGATCACATTATTATATTATTAAATAATGTGAAAGGGCGGGTCAAAAAATACCCTAGACAACTATGCCATCATAATTCTGAATTATAGATTTGGAGAGACGGGGAATATATGGAAGAAGACACCCGCATTTAGTTGTCAAACATTGCTAGACAGCCCACCTTGTCTCAATTCTTTAGAAATTAAAGGTATGAAAAGTAAAATAGAAAAAATGTTGGTCGTACCACCTCTTCAACACGAGATTTCAAGAACAAACTATTATTTTCTTATAATACGGTTAAAATATCCCTTTAAAAAGGTGTCAACGTGCCTAATCTTTGCAAAACAAAATATTAAGGTGAGGTTGTATACCAAAATAAAAACATATATAAGGTCAGTTTTAAAATATATATATATATATATATATATATAATAATAATAATAATAATAATAATAATAATAATAATAATAATTAGAATGCACTAATGGTATACATTTTTTTACGGTATTATCTAATTACGATTGTCATTGATAAATTTATTAATTTTAATAATATACCTTAAAGGGTTTCTGATTATTTAATGGAGTAATTATAAAATTTAAACCCTTCTTTCAAGGGGTAATCATCATTTTGGCTCAGTGTCATCTTCATACTCAACATATTAAGAAAACTCACTAGTCGGGTCATGTTTTGAAAGAAATATCTGAACCAATAAAAATAAGTTAAATTTTAGTCTAAAATTGAATCGAACTAATTTGCCCAAGAATGTTTGTAATGTATCTCAAAATATAGTGTATGAGAGAGGAAAGAAACGAAAAGAAAATTTGTGAAATGTAGTTTGATTTTTTATATGTATATAAAAAAAATATATAAAAAGAGAAGAAACAAGATACAAGTGTAAATGGTCCACCAATTGAGTCCCCAAGATTAAGTATTAGTATTTGTTGTCCTGCGAGAGACATTAACCGATAGCGGCAGTATATCTCAACTCACGGGGAGTAAAATGATTATGTCTAGCACAGAAAAAGTGCAATGGAATTGTTGAGAGGCAAAGGAAGTCTAACGGACTCGACTTTTCGGCCGAAGAGTCGTCTCAAACAAAGTATGTCCATTGTACTATTATTAGAAGGGATATTTCCATTGTACTATATTAGAAGGGAAAGTTCGTACCTCTCTTTCTAAAATAATTTTTTTTATAAAAAAGGTCATCGATGGTTATTTAAAGAGATGAGTAGTTTGAGTGTTGAGAAGAAAAAAATATTGAAAGAGAAAAAATAGTTTAAATTTTTAATAAAATAAAATAGGATAAAATAGTTTATTGAAAATAGAAATCAAAATAATTATTAAAGGATATATCTCTTTTATACAATGTATAGATAGAGGTAAAGAGTCATAGTGTTTGGATAAAGAATCATCTTTCTCTCTTTAAAAAAAAAAATTTAGTTAAAAATCTAAACTCATTTTTATTTTACCCCAGAAATAGTTGATTTTTTATTTCACATATATATCTATCTACTTTCACATATTAATAAAATTTTTGTGTAGAGAGTTTATCATATGAGAGTGCCAATTTTTATCCGAATAAAAATTAATTTTAATTTTTAAATTAAAATAAATAATTTAAATTAAAAAAAACTTACCTAAAGTTATAAATACAATCATTTTTATAGCTACTATTATTATTATTGTCATTATCAATAATAATGATAATGACAATAATAATAACAGTTATTATGTTTATAATTTAAGTAAGTTTTTTAATTTATATTTATTTTAATTAATAACTATATGAAATAAAAAGACTAACAAAATCTTTAGTTTAAATAAAAATAAGTTTATATTGTGTTTGAAATCATGTGGATAAATAAAATGATTGTAAGAAAAGATTATACTAAAAATTGTCCATCAGATTCATTAATGGAGATTAGTAATTCAATCGATACATATTTACAGTAAAAAAAAAAAAAAAAAAAAAAG